GCGGGGCGATTGGAGGAGGGGGGGCGAGCTGAGGCATCCTCGACCAGGGGGTGGGGGGGGGGGGCAGCAAGGGCGCCTCCTGGGCGCGCGCCCCCGCGCCGAAGCGTCCCCCCGTTCGCGCCAACACCCTGCGGCGAAATGCCTCCCACCGGGCGCGCTCCGGGGCGAGGCGCAGCTGGGCCGGCATTTTCTTGTTGCAATGGGTGGCCCTGCGTCGGCCACACCACACCATCGTGTGCTGGGGGCTGATCCCCGTGCCCCCCCCCGGCGGCCTGTACCGGCCTGGGCGGCGGTCCCCTGTGCGGCCGGCAAAAGAGCGACGCCCAGCTCCGCCCCTCTCGCCGCCCACCCCGGCGGGTCCCCCCCGCCCCCCCCCCCCAACTGGCGGCCCGATTGATTGCCCGGCACGCCAGGCGGAGGCGCGGGGAGCCCCCCCCTTTCCGGACACGCCCCGCCCCCCCTCCTCTCCCTGGTGCCCGGCTGTGTGTGCACGTCTTTATGTTGCCCGGGCCCCTCTTGTGTCGCCCTCGCATCCAAAAAAAGGTAAATGCTCATTGGGTGGATCGAACACCCGACCTCCAGTTTACTAGACTGGCGCTCTACCACTGAGCTAAACGAGCGGCTGATGGTTCGTTGGCGCATGCCCCGCCATAAGAGGGGAGGCCCGGCCCGCGTGTGGCGCGATGTGCCCCAGCGCGGCCGGGCCACGGCGGCATCCTGGCGCCAGCCGGGTCTGCCTTTCCCCGGGTCCATGCCTGCCGGCGCCTTCCGGCCATGCTCCGACCGCGCCTGGCCAGGCCAGTCCAACGGGGCGCCCAGCCTCGCGCCCCGGCCGCCCGTGGACGAGGGGCACGAGCTGGCGGGCACCGGCCGTCCTCTCCGTGTGCACCCCCTCTGTCCTCGCCGGAGGGGGAGGGAGCCCTGCACCCGGGAGGATGGCGCTTTCTCCCCGGCGCCTGTGCCGCCGGGCCGGGCCTTTCGCCCTGGGCTGGGTGTTGTTCTGTGCGGGGGGCTCCCCCCCCCGGCAGAAGGGGCGGGGGGGGGGGCGGCAGTGCCCGGCTGTGGCGTGCACACGCTTGCGGGGGTGACCGCCCGCCGGGGGGGCTGCGCACCCGCGGCCATCATGAGGTGAAACGCTCGGACTGATTCACCGAGGCTTGTTCTCCGATATGGAGATCACGCCTCGGAAGAAAGCATTTCGTCTCGAGAGGTACAAGAAGGCAAGCGATGACAATAAAGCGCGCGCGGTCTTGTTGGGGAAGCAAAAGTATTTACATCAGAGACTACTGGCTTGGGGGGGAGAAAGCCAGGCCAAGGAGGCAATGACTATCCTTTCTAGGGTAGCCGTACATGGGAAAGAGGGCGCGGATGCCGTCCCTTATATAGGGGTTAGGCGCATGGGAGAAGGAGCACCTTGCCCCTCTTCCCTGGCGCCGAGGGAGGAGGCGGCAGGGCGGGGCGAAGGTCTGTACACGGATGCGCGGCTCTCCCCAGGAGGAGAGGAGAGCCGGGGATCCGACTTCTCAGAT